CACTCAGTACACAAATAATGTACATTTCTTAAATATAATGTACATTATTTTTATATTGAAAGTACATTATTTTTGTACTGAATGTACATTATTTTATAGTATATAAAATATGGTCCATACATGTCCACACAATAATGATTGTAAAGGTGGGCCATATGGGTTCTCAATTATATTAAAACCCAGAAAAATCATTTGTTGAAGCCCAATAGAAAGCTTGAATGAGATGAATTCATAGGCTCTATTGTAGGCCCATAAATCAGAGTAAAATAATTAACTGATACCCGACCCGTGACCGACCCGCCCAGATTCTCGAATCCCTAATTCGGTAAACCCTACTTGGAGAGGAAGTTTCAGGTTCAAGGGGTTTAAGGGAAGCTCCTCCAGGACTAACTGCCAGCGAGGATTTTGATTGATGAGAAATGGCAGCTTCAAGGCTATCTTCTATGGCGGCCGTCGCCGCTGCCGCGGCGGTCGCCAGTTCAAGCTCCAATCTGTCGAACCGCGCGTACGCTGATTTTCCGTTTCGCTTCTACCCTTTCTCTTCCTCACCCTCTCCTCCTCCTCCACCTTCTCCGGCCGCCGATTCTCCTGCTTCGGATTCCAAAGCTCCCGCAGAGGATTCTAGAGGCGGCTTCGATCACCAAGCTCTAGAAAGGGGCGCGAAAGCCCTCAAGGAAATCAACAGCTCTCCGTATCACAAACAGGTGAATTATAATACATTCATTGCATGCTAAACAGATTCGTATACCTATTACCTAATATATTGATATTGTTTTTTTGTCAAGGTGTTTGAAGTAATGAGAAAGCAGGAAAAATCGCGTCTCGCTGAATTGGATGCGGAGAAAGCTCATTTTGAGGCTATCCAAGCTCACGCTGATATTGTGAGTCTCTTCGTTTAGCTGAACTTTCCTTCTGGATTTTCTATTTTGATTGGTTAGCCCTTTATATGTTTTTTTGGCCTGAAATACTAGTAACTTCTTATTAGAAAAATGAATAAAAATAACCATTATAAAGACTCCTAAGAAACATGGAAAGAAATATACAAAGCAAAGCAAAGATAAAAACTGTGTGAAGTGGAAGAAAGAGTAAATGTTCACTCAATGCTGAATTTTTTTTTTTGATTGAAGTTCAAGGGCATGCTTAAGATGTGGTATATTACTGAACATGGTTTCATTTCACATGATATATGAAGCATGTGGTGCACTTGATTTCATTAGTCTAGTTGCATTGATTGCATCCTCTTTGTTCTTTTCTTATGTAGGAGAAGCAGCAAAAATGGGGAGAAAATCAGCGGGAGCTTTACCAACAGCAAGCACAAGCAAAGGCACAAATGCTGAGATATGAAGATGAGTTGGCTAGGAAAAGAATGCAGGTGTGATTCTCAGCTTCTTTTCTAAATCTTTTTCTAGAGTCATGCAATTGAAGAGTTGAGGCGAATCTTTGGAGGGTAACTAATTTAGTTTCCTGACAAGTGTAGAGTTTATTGTATTCAAAATATGTTTCACTGGAGTAGCACAACCTTCGTCATATTCGGAAATTTAGACTTGTTTATCAAGCATTGGTTATAATCAGTTAAATTCGATTTAGAAGGGAAGCTTTTGATTCATTATTGCTTAAAAGCTTTTCCGTGATTGATTGTTCAATACATCATTTACCACTATTACAGACAGATCATGAGGCTCAAAGACGTCACAATGCCGAATTGGTTAAGATGCAAGAGGAGTCATCCATACGAAAAGAACAATCAAGACGAGCAACTGAAGAACAGATCCAAGCTCAGCAACGGCAAACAGAGAAAGAGAGAGCTGAAATAGAGCGAGAAACTATAAGAGTCAAGGCCATGGCTGAGGCTGAAGGCCGAGCTCATGAGGCTAAATTGACTGAAGATCATAACAGGCGGATGCTAGTTGAGAAAATAAATAGCGAAAAAGAGAAGTGGCTTGCTGCAATAAATACGACTTTCACTCATGTTGAAGGTACTCAAGAAATGTGGTGTGTATTGTTTACTACATGATCTTTGCCCATATGTCCGTATATGCACAATCTCATCAACAGAAACTATTGATACAATTTAGCAGTGTCATTTGAACTTGCCTTGTGCTGGCAAGGGCAAGGACTGGATTGTTTGTTGGTTTTAAATGGGGACTATAATCGACATGGTTTTCATATTTCTAGTTTGCTATTTGAAAAATCATGATTTTTCTTTATATAAAGAATCTATTTATTTCTTCTCTTTCTGATTTTAATTGCCTGCATTGTTCTACAATTTCATTCAGTTATTTTTTAACAACAATTTGCAGAGGGATTCCGTATTTTATTGACTGATAGGAGTAAGTTGATTATGGCTGTGGGTGGAGCTACTGCATTAGCTGCTGGAGTTTATACCACCAGGTCAGTGAAATAATCAATGCAACCTCTTTTTTGTTATGTAAGCCAAGACAAATTCCTAAAAGGCACATTCTCCTCACAGTACAAAATGTTATCCTTTAATTCTGACCTCATTTTGGCAAAACTAAGTGGCTTCATTCCTATAATCCTATCAACATCAATCATCAAGAAAACTTGAAGGAATGTGTCCTGTAATTTCCTTAATTCTGTGTGCTCAAATGTTCATTCAGGGAAGGGGCCAGAGTTACATGGGGATACATTAATAGGATTCTTGGACAGCCATCTCTCATTCGTGAATCATCAATGAAAAAATTTCCTTGGTCAGAGAAGATTTCACAAGTTGCAACTAGAGCATTCAGATCTGGTACAGCTGCTGAGGCAGCAGCATCTTCACAAAGTAAATCTACTTTCAATAATATTGTCTTGCACCCCTCATTGCAAAGGAGAATAGAACACCTTGCAAGGGCTACAGCTAACACCAAATCTCATCAGGCACCATTTCGAAATATGCTATTTTATGGGCCTCCTGGCACTGGTAAAACAATGGTTGCCAGGGAAATAGCCAGAAAATCGGTATGGATTAACCATCCTTTATTTTTTATTGTCTTGGCAATTAATTTTCCTGCAATGCATTAGCATGGAAATACTTTTTGATGCCAGAGTAAGAATTTGTGGGTTCAAATTTGTAACAAATATACCATCTTCTATTTGTGGACTAATTAAAAGTTAAAGAAAAATGTTAAATACTTCCTCTATCCACTTTACTTGTCATGTTTAGTATTTGAATGTCAAACAAACTGTTCTTTGTTTTCTTATTTACTTCAATGTTTACTTATATGGAGTAGTTTTTAAATTGAACTTTATGTGTTTATTATAACTTTTTACATAGTTTCTGAATATATAATTTTTTCTTGTGTTCAGCTATTATGAAAAATGAATTGTAATTAACTTGAGTCATCCTACTTTTTTTTTGAAAACCGAGTCATCCTACTTTATTCCAACTGGACACAAAATGTGAGAGGGGACTAAGTAATAAAAGTAATATTACTGCAGTAGATGTAAAATAGGACTGTTTAAACCTCTTTTTTCCTAGGGAACGAACTCTCATGGAGTTAAAATGAACTCCATGTTCTAACAGTCACTGGTTCTAAATTCTGCAGGGATTGGATTATGCCATGATGACTGGAGGAGATGTTGTACCATTGGGTGCACAGGCAGTGACTAAAATTCATGAGATTTTTGACTGGGCCAAAAAATCCAAGAAGGGCTTATTGCTTTTCATTGACGAGGCTGATGCCTTCTTATGCGAGTAAGTTGGTGGTGTTAAAATGAAATTTTCTAGTTATCAAGATTTGTCTGAGTAAGATGCAATCGAATTCATAAACATCATATATCTATCCTCTTTCTGGTCTATGATATCAATTGTTCTTCATTCACAATATGTAAAATTTTATTTTATTTCCTGCAGGCGAAACAGCATACACATGAGTGAAGCTCAGCGGAGTGCTTTAAACGCTATGCTCTTTCGAACAGGAGACCAGTCCCGGGATGTGGTTCTTGTCCTCGCAACCAACAGGCCAGGGGATCTTGACAGTGCCATCACCGACCGCATAGATGAAGTCATTGAATTCCCTCTTCCCCAGGAGGAAGAGCGTTTCAAATTGCTGAAGCTGTATCTGAACAAATACCTCTCCGGCGAAGAAGGCAGCAACGACTCCAAGTGGGGAGGAGGTTTGTTTAATAAGCAACCACAAAAAATCACAGTAAAAGACATATCCGATGATATAATCAGAGAGGCTGCTCGGAGGACGGAGGGGTTTTCCGGCCGAGAGATCGCCAAACTCATGGCTAGCGTGCAGGCGGCCGTTTACGGCAGCCCTGATTGCGTCCTGCATCCCCAGCTCTTCAAGGAGATTGTGGACTACAAAGTTGCAGAGCATCAGCAGCGCATTCAACTTGCAGCTGAAGGTGGAGAGCCTGCTTTCTGCACCAATTAGCTGCCAAATTTTTTATCAAACTATAGAGATCTCTTGCAGAGTTATTCTTATCATCTCATCAGGCATAACTATGTAAAAGTAGAATCCAAAGTACATTACTCGATACTTCATGTGAGTATATACTTTTAGGATTCAAAACGTTTCAGTTTTGTGTTTGAAACCCTATATTGTATACATTTTATTAGTAATAATAACTGCACGATTTTGAATTCTTTGAAAAAGAGTTAATAATTTATTTAACAATTTGGTATGATTAGAAGAAACAATCACTATTCAAGAGAGTGCATTGACCGAAAGGTGAATTTCATTTTGTGATCTTAGTCAATAAAAATTGAAAAGTTTAGATTATCCATAACTGATTGATCCAAATCGAGACAACCCATTCTTCTCTCTAAAGGGTGAATTCTTAATACTTTACACCCTGGTCTGGTAGAGCACAATGACTCGAATTTATCTACTTTAAACATAATTTCAACACTATGACTCAAATTTATCTACTTTAAACATAATTTCAACACCACCACCGTCAAAATTCGAACAACATAATTTCAACACCACCACCGTCAAAATTCGAACCTTGATCTCTTCTCTCAAATACTGCATACTGAACAATTGTGTTAAGCTCGGACCATATATATTCCCTTATAGATGAATGGATGATGATCGCAAACTACCTGCATCACAGTCTCACAGTTGTTACCTGTCCAAAGGCCAAAAGCCTTTGTTTGACATGCCGCCTAAAACACGGCCGCGTGTCCAAAGGCCCAACGCACCTCCTAAAACGCCGCCACGTTTCTCACTCACTGCATGGCGGTTTTCATTCCCCCTGTCCCCTATCCCCTCGCTCTAACCACTGTTATATTTCCCTCAATCCGTTCCCCGGAGCTCTCAAAAAATCTCTGTTCTCTAATCATCGCCGGAAATGGAGAAGAGAAACGCGGAGTTGCTGTTACTTTGGCTGGCGGCGGCGGTGCTGTGCTGGTGTTCGCAGGAGGGAGCGGCGGGGAGTTCTAAGGATACACAGAATTCAGCCGCTACAGATATGGGGATCAACGCCTCCCAATATTCACAAGCGCAGCTGTTCCCAGGCCATAATCGCCAACCTCTTCGAGTAAGCCTTCCTTTTATCAATCACATATATCTTTCTGTAAATTTTACACCGTAAATCTTTTAAATTAGTATAATTTTTAAACTATATAAATTAATTTTAAAAAATTTATACTGTAAACCTCCACATTACTACATTACAGTATACGGAGTAAAAGGTTTTTTATTATTTATTTATTTTATTATTATTATTTTGACCTGCTATATATGGCGGTAAAATTTAAAATTTTGAATTAATTTCAGAAAATTTTGCCCAAATTTGCCTCGTAATTGGTTAAGTATTACTGTATGTATATTAGTGTCATGTATCATATAATCAATAGTGCATGCAATGATCTTTCGAAATAGTGAAAGTCCTGTATCTAATACTCTGATTCTGCACACGTTATATGATTAATAGCATAAAGGCAAGGCATAGAAATATTTGTGTTTTGAATTCGTCTTAATATGTGATGTTAATTTTGATTATCTTAACTAATTTATGGATTGTGCTTTGAAGCTGATTGATTTGGTTTAAATCAGGAGACTGAAGAAGATGGAGCGCAGAGATTGGTTCACAGTGCAGGTGCAGTAATTCCTTTCCTACTGCTTAAAGTGATAGATCGAGTTTCAATTCACTATCCTCTCATCATTAATGTTTATTGCCCTAGACTAGACCATTTCTGATGAGATTTTCATTTTTTTGCAGAAACACTAAGATATGCTTCTGGAAAAGCTAATGAGATGGGAGATATGGCATCTGAAAAACTATTAGGCTTCAAAAACATTGTTTCGGGCATGGCTGGTGGTTTGAAGGCAAAAGTGAAGGATAAAGCTTTTGATGCCTCTGCCTTTTGCTCCGAGAAAGCAGAACAAGGAATAGACATGGCTTCAAACGTATCCACCGATGCTTCAGACATTATGAATCAGGCTGGGGACATGAAAGATAAAGCATCTGGCAAAGCCAAACAAGCAATAAAACTGGGTTCAGATAAGGCTGCAGATGAAAAATCAGAAGCCTTTAAAAGATACCAGCATGCCAAATCAGAGGTTTATGAAACTTGTGCATCTGCCCAGGATACCATGACTGAACAAGCCAAGGAGAAATATGAACAAGCCAAAGAGAGAGCTTCACAAGCTACTGGTGAACTTGGAGCAAAGATGAGAGAATCTGCCCCCTCTTAAATCATAACAAGTTAATTACATCATATGCTGTACTATATATATTACTGTTCTTTGTCTAGCATGATGTCCTTTGGTTAATAGAACAAATTTTCATGGTTTCCTAGTTTCTAAGATCTACTATGCTTGATACTTCCTTTCATCTTGAAAGTGTCTTCATAATTAGGACCATAAATTAGTGTTCTTATTCCAGCTGAAAATGTCATATATGTTACATAGACTGCATAGCTAACAGTACTATACTACTACCAAATACAGAAGCTGCACTCAAATTTTGTTTAAGATCTTCCAACACTGCATTCAACAAGAACAAGGTTGTTCAACCTCAAACCTCACAAGAGAACTAGAGTTGGGTCTTGGGTCCCTACTTCACTGCAGCTTGCTGGTTCAGGTAATAATTTAACAAATTAAAACTGATCTCTTCATTTATCTTATATATATATTTGTATATGAATGTATTTATTTATTTCTTTCCCCAAGTTGAGGAGCATATGCCCAGCTTTGACTGTTGCATGTCTAAATCCACTAGGTTCTTAGCAGTTTTGGCTCTTACTTTCTTAACCATAAGATATCAAGTTCAACTCTTGATAGGAGCAGTTTATTGGCCTTTTTGATTTGAGCCAGTTAATTATAAGCAACTTAAGTTGGTTTATGGTCTTTTACTAGTTAGGGTCATACTACGATTTATGTAGTGCACATCCCTGAGTACATCCGATTTCCTTCCTCATCTATGTGTACTTTTCTTTATATTCCTAATTTTTACTCTACATAAAATCTTGATTTAGACACTTGTATTGGAATTTACATGAAAAAATAAGCTCTAAAAATAGCTTACCAGAACCTGTCAGTACATGTAGTAGAACTCCAAAAAGGCAATGCAACGTTAAACCCCCCCAGACAATTAAGCGAGACATATTTTGACTTGTATAAAACTGTTTGGTCCACCAGTGACCTGTCAAGATATTTGATTATCCCGGTGTCTAAGGCTTTTTTGAGTGGAGAAACATGACTTATTAGCAAGTCCATCGACAAGGATGCTTTCGTAGTGGTTGGGTTGCCAGCCGCAATCTTTACTTGACTATATATTCAACAACCTTGTCTTCTACCCCATAGTTTATTCTGACAGTAGGTGAAATATTTACAGAATGGTGTTGTATAATATACCAAGAAACCAATTCATGTTAATTGGCTCAATCTATAGTTGCCTCACAGTCTAGTACGTGCCCCCATTTTAGAAGTTATGGCTATATATATATATATATATCATGTCTACATACAAAATGACAAACTTCTTGCATGGTTTGTACAAATATAATTATATTGTACACGGCCCCAGTGAGGCTTAGCTTATAGCACTTGCTTCCAATCTTGATTAAGTAACTCTTGTATTGAATACAATAATTGAATGGAAGGTTTAATTTTGAAACTGAGCTCATATATATATATATGTGTGTGTGTGTGTGTGAGGGGGGGGGGGGGGGGGGGTGTGGGGGGTTTGAAAGGAGGGGTTAGTTTTTTTTTTTTTTTTTTTTTTTTTTTTATGACAAGAAATTAGCCGTCATTATTTTAAGGTGTGAATTGAGTAATTTTCATTTATGTGTAATAATATGTATTATACTAGAAAGATCTTGTGTTACTGATTTGACCTAAAGTGTGTTGAAAAAAATTCAATTTGTAATTTTTGTCCAAAAAATCATATTCTGTCGTCAGCTGTTCTTTTGAGAGGAGTTAAAGTTTTTCATACTTGTCTGAGGATAGTGGTCTAGTGGATGGGTGTTTGCACTTTTAGAAATACTTTTAGCAATAGGGTGGGAGTTCAATTTGAATCTCATCATGAACAATTTGGATATAAGTTTTACCAATTTGGTGTGAAATTGAAATTAAGGCGGCTCTATTTATTTTTTCATAAGTCCGGATGAATTTATGAGATTCGGATGAATTTATAAGATTCAAGATATAGTTCATCGGTAAAACTTGAATAATTTATTTATTTTTAGAAAGACGAGTTTTTCCTACTTTGAAGTTAGAGGTTTAATTTTGTACCAGTCTCGTAGTTAGAGGAATTTATGGCATATCTTCAATTCGCAATGGAAATTTAACATTACAGCGTCCATGTCTGATGTCTGTACCAAGGTTGTTAATTACTGGAGTACATTAGAAGGGAGTAGATAGCTGAATCGTACGTTGCCAAAATATCCTCACTGTAAAGCAAAACCTTTTAACTACCTCCTATAAACCTATAAAGCTATAGTATTTAATTGCATGGGTGTTCCTTTCAGTTGTGTTTCCAAGAAATCTTTAGCCATGTAATATTATATGTATTTTTTTTTATTACATTATGTATTCTAATTTTATTTATTTATTTTTTACATACACTATGTTAAAATGATATTTTTTGCTCGTCTTTGTTCACAATCAGTTATTGCACATGCTAAAATGACAAAACACAAAAATTTGGAAATAAAAAAGGTACGTGGGGATATGAAAATAGGACCATGTTATACCCCATAAAGATTAAAAAAAATTAAAATAAATAAATAAAATTAATATTTATTATTTTGTCATATCAATGAGTGATTATTATTATAGGGTAACATTTTTTTTTAAAAATAAAAATATGACCAGGGAAAAAAAAAAGAAATAATGGCATGTTTGGTTTGAAAGAAAAAGTTATTGCGAATATTTTTATTCTTAAAATTTGAGGAAAAATAATTTTATTTTATGTAATTAATGGAGAATTTATTCTATGAAAAGAATGAATTGTACTTTAGTCTTAGTTATTTTATTATTTTTTGTTAATGAGAGAAATTTACAGTTACTATTTGATAATGTAAATTAGATAAATTTTGTTTTTATATAATAACTCGTAAATTGCATATGAATATACACTAAGAAAGCCATGTACGATGAGTTAACCAAGAAAATTTTAATAAGAATTAAATTCATAATTTCTGACATAAAGAATCATGCTCTCCTATACTTTTTTGTTTTTTTTTTTTTTTTAGAGAAAACATACAATATGAATATATTATTGTCACATCCCCTTATTATTTAGAGATATTTGAGTTTTTAACAACTTATGTTTCATAGACCAAACAATGAATTGATTTCAAGTAATTTTTATTTTATTAGAATTTAAATTGAGTTTATTCTCAATTTCTTTCTTTTTTTTTTTTTTTTTTTTTTTTTTTTTTTTTTTTTTTTCACTATTCAAAGTGGCTTTAAGTGTTCTAATGCAATTTTTTTTTCAAGAAATGGATTTTCAAATATTTGTAATTACAAAATATAGTTCCGAAACAATTTTGAAAAATTTCATAAATTTTTAGAAAAGAAATGTGTTCAAAACGAGGAATCATCCTTTCATAACTTTATAGCAAGCATTTAGAAGCTAAGGGGTGCAATGTATAGCTCAGTAGTAACACTCTCAGATAGTAAATCAATAGAAGGGCCATTAATAAAATTAAATGAGCATTCATATATTCATATCTGCATAAAGTTGGGAATATATATATAATGTATCAAAAAATGGTTATATGAACTAGCTTTCCCTCTATGTACTACTAGCTATTATTATGCACAATATAACTATGATCTGAGATGTTAAAAATCACCTGTGTCATTTGCTTACATTTGTTTCTTCTTCTCAGCTTGTTTACTGTTGTGCATCCAGACCTTGAACACTTGTCTCTTCACACCCACTTCACTGCAAAACTTGTGCACTTCTTCATCATCTTGCTTCTGGATTCTCCACCCTATTTTCTCTGCAAATTCATGCATTTGTTGTTTCTGCTGCTGGGTGAACTTTGTTCTAAACCTTTTCTTTGATGAGGGCACTTGCATTAGCCCTTGCCCACCACCGGCATTGAGATCTTCACTTGATGATTCTGCCGGAGCTCTGACCGGCGGCGGCGGTGGGGCGGCCCCCCTGTAATGCTGGGGTGGCAGCATTGGTGGGTTTTGCGTCTGAAAGGTGATTCCTTTGCGGTGGAAGTTGCGGTGACAATTGCAAGCTGCACATTTTAAGGATTCTGGGGTGCCCTCTTTGCCGCCGGGCATGAATTCTCCGCAGCCGTCCACTACATGGCCGCCGGTGCTGGCGGCATGGTTCTTCAGGCATTCTCGGTAGCGAATTAAGGTGGTTGTATGACTTGTATCAGCAAATCTTTGAGGCAATAATACTTGCTGGGTTGTGGCTTTGTTGTTTAGTAAGGATGGTGGATCTGGATCTGGGTTTGAAGGACCTTCATGCATATGATGATGCTCTAATTCTTTTTCCCTCTGGGAATCTAGGGTTTGCTGGGATGATGATTCTTGGGCCTGCAGGTTGATTCTTGAAGGTGGAATCCCCTCAAACTTCTCTTTGCTTCTGGACTCCATTGATGCTAAATCAGGTATGTATAACCCTTTTGCTCTTGAATTCAGCTTCTGCTAGTCTAGGTTAGCATCAACATCATATTATAATACATTTATATACTAGTAATAGATCTGCAGAAGAGCAGATGAACATATAGCCATTAATGTACAATCCAACTATCAGCTTAGGCTTTTCGTTGAGATAGAACACATGCTTCAATTGACAGGCCAATTCCTTTTTCTCTTCTGAAGTGGAGATTAGTGGTGAACCCACAAACCCATTTCCTTAAAACTTCAACTACTCATCCTTACGTAAGCAAGAAACGATGGCCCAGATGACTACATGGTTTTTAGGCTTTAATCAAGAAACATGAGCTAACCTAAGCTAGATTAGAAAAGGAGATTAGAGTGGTAATTGTTTTTGGTCTCCTTTAGAGGCATCAAAACCCCTCCAAGAAACCAACCGGCAATAAAAGGAAGAATAAATGAATGAATGAATAATGGAGGAGTGGAGGTACTTACAGTGAGTGATGAGAAAGATGAGACTTAGCTCCACTAACAACCGACAGCTCCCTCTTCGTCCTGTTCTGCAGCCTGCACTCTCAGTACTGCCATTACTGCTTTCTCTTTCTCTTTGTTTCTTTGTTTTTCTCCTCCCCCACCTGAGTGGGTAGTGGGGGAGTTGATGGGATGGTACCTTTGGTTTGACTGGGTGTATCGGAATCTCAGGAAATATGGATAATGGAACCTTAATTAAGCTCGTTTTAGCTAGGGTTCAAGACATTAATCTCAGGTTATTAGAGTTGAATGTGAAAGAAGAGGAGAGAGCGATGGTGGAATAGTGGAACGTGGAAGGAAAAGAGGAGAAGGGGTGTAGACTTTTGTGTGGGTGGGAAATAAAGTTAAAATAGGACACCACAAATGCTTTTCTCCTGCCCCGGACCATCATTTATTTTAGAGTTAATACTCAAAATGGTCCCTCGACTATGCCATAATTATCAATTTGGTCCTCAACTACCATTCTTATCCAATTAAGTCATCAACTATGTAACTTTTACTCAATTAAGTCCTCAACTATACAATTCTTACCCAATTTAGTCCTCAACTATATAATTCTTACCCAATTTAGTCTTCTGTATTAATTTGACTGTTTGTTGATTGTCAAAAGTCGGGATAAAATTATAATTTTACAAGATTTCTCCTTCCTCTCCATTTAGCAGCGCCAAACCATGCAGCAATACACTCCGATCAGATTTCGATCGTCAAAAAATCGTTGGAAATCAAATTCATGGGCTATCCGATGCATAATAACTACTTCGATACTGACAGGTTTAGAACCCAACCGGAGCTTATTGCTACATGGTTTGGCGCTGCTAAATGAGGAAGAAGGAGAAAACTTGTAAAATTACAACTTTATTTTCATTTTTGACAGTCAATAAACAGTCAAATTGACAAAGGACTAAATTGGGTAAAAATTGTATAGTTGAGGACTTAATTGGGTAAGAATGATAGTCGAGGACTAAATTGGTAATTACGAGTTTATGACATAGTCGAGGGACTATTTTGGGTATTAACTCTTTATTTTAATTGATTTAGTGCTGATATTTTTCTCTCTCTCACTCCCGCGTCCACCAAACCCAACCTCGTAGCCACTCCACGATGACCAATTGACCAGAGTTGCTAATGACAGTATGACACTTTATGAGATGGTATAACTAATACTAAAAAAAAATAAATCTTGATCTAGGTGATTGTGTTTTTAGTTATTATAAAAAAAATGTCGAGGGTATTTGGTATAATGATCTACTTTTTTTTTTTTTTTTTTTTTTTTTTTTTTTTTTTGCCACAAGGTCACAAACTAATGGATTTTTCTAGTGGCTACGCCTCTTGTGTCTCTTTTAAATTATTATCAAATCATCAGGAGGTTGATCAAGGATTGACGTCCCTTACTCAGAGTTTTGATCCCGGTTAATAAAAAAATCAACACATCGGTTACTTTCTTGCAAAACATGCATAATCTTAACTTTCCGCATCTGTTTCAAGATGGCTCTACAATCCAAAAGCAATTTCAGGGCAAGAATCAATATCCCTAGTGATGGTGTGGATCATCGCCTCAAAGTCTGCCTCAACCACAATACAATTTTCTCCATTTCTTGATCTCTAGCAAGAAGCCAAGAAGGCAAGAATTAGTCCTTCTCCATCCGTACGGGTTTAGCTCAATAATTCAGTGGGCAGTATTTGGAAGAAGAGACTAAGGTTTGAACCTCGGCGGCGGCAGTGTGAGAATTATGTCTAAAATGGACAGATTCCTTGTGGACACCGGCATTTGACCCTGTCCGCTGAACCATTGAGTCACCCTGATGTAAATCACAAAGTGGTAAAACAATCAGTTATTCATTAATTGTTAAATATTTATAATAGAGGTGGTTGGCAATTAACTTACAAGTGATAGCTTATTGTGTTAATTGTTTTTTTTGATATTATTTTTAGTTATAAAAATATGTATGGTAAATTAGATGTTTATCCTTGGTTGATTACCTATAAACGGACATATAAAACGTAAGTATATTGCTTTAGTTTATTTACTTAATTTTTAAATTATTTTTATAATTTATTATTATTGTGTTATTATTAATTATTCTTAACTTATTATTAATAATGTTATAATTATAAAAATACTTCGTAGTTAATAATAGTAATTTAATATTGATGCTTATAAATTTAAATAAATATAGAATAAGCATACATTGTTAATAATGATTTAACATAGTTATACATATATAAGTGTCCTATTAAAAATGTAAATTTGAATAAATATGTACACTATAATAATTATAAAGGTAAATTATACCTTCAGTATGAAAATGTAATAAGCTGAAAAGTCATATTAACTTTTTCATTTTTAACTTATTAACATTAGCAAGTCAATCGAGTCAATTATTGCCGAATAGTCACTTTAGCTGTTTGATTAAGTTGGACAATCAAGTTATACTTTAGATGATAAATTATTTATCCAAATACTTATACGATATAGTATTATATTAAATATAATTAGTACGGGTGTCGATGAACACCAGAATCAACTATTTAATTTCTTAATTAGTAACATGGCATATGTCCTTCCAAAATACCTAATCTAAATATTTTTATTACAAATAAGTCACCGAAATTGAGTCGTGAACAACAACTACAATAATAATATGTTGATTAATGTATTTTCTGTATTTAATAAAAAATGTTGTATTTTCTTTATAATAAATTTACTGTAATTTTAAGAATAAGGAATGTTTCTGTTTGAGCATTAAATAAATAATAAATATTGAGTAGTATTTTAAACTCTTATTTTAAAAATATTTTAGATAATGAATTTATAAATATTATTGTGTTTATGGGATGCACAATTTTCGGGACATCGAGGATAATGTTTTACGGATAACTATGTTTTTTTGCTTCAGACATAGTGAAATTTTGGCTTTTTAAATATTAGTAGTCACATACATATATATTGTTCTATTTATAGTTATACTAATTAAGTAAAAAAAGACACCTTTACAATGCAGTATATCGCCTCCACTAAGGTTAGATCCTACAAGCTCCCTTATAAGGGAGCAACTTGGTGCTATTGGATTACAAAGGTCTTGGCATGAAAGTAATATTTTAATTATACTCTAAATTCATTTGACAATATATGTTATTGTATGAGTCTGAATTTTAATTAAATTTTCCATATACACTAGTTTCATTATAATAATACTAAAGTATCATTTTAATTATACTACAGTTTCATTTGACAATATATGTTATTGAATTAGCTATGTTTTTTAGTTTCATTTTCCACATACTAGTTTCATTATAACAACACTGAAGTTTTATTTTAATTCTACTACAGTTTCATTTGACGATCATAGTCCACAATATAACAACTGAATAATGAGGCATACGACCGACAAAAATTAATTATAGTGTGTTTGATGAGTGAAGCTGAGAGGAAACAAAATAAAAGAAGAGTTAATTCTATTTTCTGTCATAAATTTATAGGTGCAAGTCTACTTTTAGTTCTTTTTTTTTTTTTTTTTTTTTTTCCAAAACATTCACCTTTGATCTTTTGTGGCATGATCTTTGTTATTCTCCATCAACAAAATTATTGAAATGTCATTAAATATATTGACATTTTGATTTTTTATATAATGTGGGTTGACCCACTATATTTTTATTTCGTTTTTTTTTTAAAAAAAAAAATCATAATCGAACACCTAATAATATGTATTTTATAGAATTTAAATGATTTTTGTTAATGGAGAATAAAAAATGGTCATACCATAATAATATTAGGACTGAATGATATGTTCTAAAAAAATGACTAAAAATATATTACTATTTATAAATCTAGGACAAAAATTAGAATTAACTCATAAAGAAAGAAATTAAGTATAGAAGTTTAAGTTTTTATTTATTTTATTCTTTTGGAATAAAAAAGAAAATTACCGAAGATGTCTTCATTCTCTTAGATAAGTTTTTGACAAGATTACAAGAAACCTCTGAACAATATGCATTACAAACATTATAATTTCGTACGTAAAAATGTTGTATTATAAAAATTAAAACTCGTAAGTAAAAATGTCGTATTACACAAATAAAACTAGTACAATATTATGACATATAAATATTATAAATATGTTTTCGTTAAGTTTTATTATAAAAATATGACATTTATTGTAGAAAATCATTAAAATTTTCTGTGCACTAATCCAATTTTATACGTAGGAGAAAGTGTCAAATTAGTTTCTTAACCTTTATTTAATATAGTATAATTAGGTTATCCTTTTAAACTCGTAAAATAGTGTAATTAGTTTATAAGATCACTTTTTTCAATTAGTTACCATTGATGTGATGCAAACATTGATGCTTATATGGATTTTAATTAATTATATAATATTTATTTTATTTGTGATTTTAAACTTTTTAAATTTTTTATATAGTAATTTTTGTAAAAAAATGAATATTTTTTAAAACTAATTTTTCAAATATATATTTTTAAATACAGTCACTAGTCATCATTGACGGTCCCCTATACCTGAAAGATCTGTCCAAATTCGGAAATGAAGGTGGTTGCGACTACCTTTACTTTTAAGATCTTAATTTCTTAGATAGCCATGATTGTTTCTTCCATTATCGTCACCTTAAACTAATAATTTGATATTTTTTTGTGATACATCATATATCTCGATCTATGTTTCATCTTGTCAAATTTTTGATGCATCACTTTCTTTAATTTGTTTTCAATTCTCATCTAAATACAAACTTTCTTTTTCATTGTCTTTCTGTCACGATTTCTTCTCACTTTACAGCCATAAGGAATAATATATTATTGTTGAACATATAATATATATAAAATAATAAATATATGTCCTATTATTAATTTAATTTTTTAGTTGATATATTTGACAAAATGTGCCATAAAAAATATTGGCACGCACACATGACTTGTGTTGAATATATAATATATAAAATAATGAATGAGTAATTATATTAGAGGATTTTGAGTTTTTAGTTAATATGAAAAGCATCCTTCAATTCAGTTATTTTTTTATTTTTAAATATCATTATATTTACAAAAATTCCACTATACATTTTATTTTATTTATACTTATCTATTTATAATAATAGAAACAGTTTCTTTTTTTTTTTTTTATATTACAAAGGAAAGGGATACCCATACAATCTATGCCTACACTGAGGCTCGAAACCTAGACCTCCCACATAGGGGAGCAATCCAATACCAGTGGACCACAAGCCACCGGTATAGAAACAGTCTCTTTTATACGTTAAAGAATGTCCTAAGTTGAATTAACTATGGATTAATTAATTAAGGTGGAATTAAGATTCAATGAATAACTAGTACAGAGTAACTTAGGACAATACAAGATCCAAAGTTTCAAA